AAAAAAATTAAGAAAAGCTTTTCTAATGAAATTGACAAGTGGCAAGCAAGGATTGGTGTATGACAAGTACTTTCTTTTCTAGGACCCGAACACTTTAAGCTCATAATTGGAAAAAATAGACAAGTTTGAAGGGCCCCTAGTGTATTAATTATGATTCCTCATAGTAATTCTTATATGACTGAAGATCGTATCCTCAATAGTATTAGAGCGAGATCGAAATATATTATAGGTCTCAAATTAAACTAAACTATTTAACTTTTACAAAATTAAATTGATTATATTTGTCATAGCATATTGATATTATGGATGTCATGCAAAGTCCTGTGGACAAGTAGTTATTGTATCTAGATAAGTGGTGGTTATGAATAAGTATTTAGGTGGCAAGCTCCCTCGAACAAGTATTATATAGGTATCAAACTCCCTTGGCCTTGGCCAAGTAACTATATATGACACGATTTGGGATTTCTTCCGCACCTACAAATAGGCTATCATGATCGATCATGAGACATCATCAAAATTGTACTACAATATTCTTTATACAAAAAAAAAATTAGCTACTATTAATCTTCTTTCCTATTTTACTTTCACTTCTACTATTTTATAAGGTCAAATGCATGAATAGTTGATTTAAGTTGTCCATAATGATCAAATAAACACCTTAACTTGTCATATGGCCAGATAGACACCTCCGCTTGGTAGAAGTATATTTTCTAAAACCCCTTACGCTTACGTGACAAATTTGATGTGTTACACTTAGATCTAAGCGCGTGAAGATATTTAAAATTAAGTTTATCCCTTTTTTTTTCACCTAAAATCAATGTGGATCCCACCTAATTCTTGGACTTCCTCTTTATCCAATTTTCTCCTCCACCATCCTCTGCCGTTCTCTGACCCAAACTATCTTCTCCATCTCTTTCCCTCCATGACAAGAAAAAATACATTAAGGACAAACTTCCATCACCGCCACAGTCACCGTCCACTATTAAAAAAATCCAAAAATAATAGATCTCTACCATTACACCATTACATAACCACTAACACTTTCTTCAATCTCCTTTATTGACCCCAAATCTGAAAAGCCAAAAAGAACCCATCTAAAACCTCAATTTTTACTACAATTTGGATTTGATAGTGATTCTTTGCTGGTGAAAATATATCAATCGAGTGGGTTGCGACGATCTCTAATTTAGTTTTGAGAAGAAAAAAAAAAAGAGTTATGGGGGCTTTGACGGGCGATGGCGGAAAGGTTGATATACGATCAAATAATTGGGGTGGGGTTTCAAAATGCAGCCACCCATGAGGCCATTACATGAAGAAAAAAAGAAACAAACCAATCGTAGAGAAGCAACGAAATTTGAGAAGAGCAACAATGGAAGCAAAGCAAAGAGCAATTTTTAATGGAGCAAAGCAGTGATTGAGCCTGAAAGAGAGAGGGAATGACTGGGAAGGAGAAATTGAACCTTTGAGAGAAATAGTGGATAAAGACGAGAGGTTTTGTGGTATTTTTGGTTGTGTTACAGTGGTGAAAAGGAGTTGCATCGTCCATAGCATTAAAGGGAGAAGAAGCTGACTTTTCTATGGTAGTTTTATTGCTTTTTGGTTGTTTTACAGTGGTTTAAGGGCTGATTTAAGGCAGCAAGTACTGGTTTTCGTTGGAAGGGAAAAGTAGGGTCTTTTTCTTGTTTTTTCATAAAAAATACAACTATTTCTTAATATAGACTACTAATTTATTTAAAAAATACACATGTCATTCAATAATTTGTCAAATTAACATGGCATCTGCTAGTGTAACTCGCACATGAGGCTTGTTGAACTCGGGTGTTCACGAGATACACATTATTGAACTCGGGTGTTCACGAGATACACAAGTGTCAAATAAAAGTATTTGTCTAGTCATATGGCAAGTTACTGTGTTCATTTGATCTGTGTGGACAACTTAAAAGGGCTATTTATGTATTTTGCCATTTTATAATGATATTGATGACATTATTGGAATCTTTTGAATATTCTTAAATTTGTTAATCGGAACCTTGAAGACTTGCACTTCAATTAACCTAATCAAGATTTTAATATCAATATTAATAATTCTATATATGATTAAAGATCATGTCCGTACTGGTATTAGAGCTAGATTGATATGTAAGAGGCCTCAAATTTAATAATTACTTTTTAAAATAGATATTGTGAAGTAACTTAAATGGATATCTTGTCAGCAACTTGAAAGTCTTGTTGCAACTTTTAAAAAGCAACCAATTTTATTGGTATTGTGGCAAGATTTTCTATAAACATAAGCCTTTGCTATCCTTTTCAATACTCGGAAAGAAAATTGTTGTCAATCTTATTTCTGTTATGAAATATAACCCAAAATAACAATATAGAACAAACAAAAACAAACTAAGAGATATAGNTTGATAACGTGTTATGAAATATAACCCAAAATAACAATATAGAACAAGCAGAAACAAACTAAGAGATATAGAGAGAAAGAGAGGAAGAGAGATTCTTATTTCTTCTTCAATTGTGTATTTTTCCTATCTATTACAAGGCCTTTATATAGGCATAAAAAGTGAAGAAAATATGTCATGGAATATGTCATTGAACATACAAATTATGTCATTGAATATGTCATTAAGCATTTTAGCTAAAGATCATGGAAGAAGAGTAGACATCCACCATAATGTGATATTCATCATAACAATTTCATATATATCTCAGCTTCTCGTTACTTGATTTTGTTATATTGCCTTTTATTTTATAACAGAAGACACTATATGTATCTTTTTCCGTTCTTGAATTTGTTGATTAGAACCATGACTATTTGGATTTTGATTGACTGTCAACAAAAATAAGAATTTGAGTTTCGAGAGATGAATTCAGATTTTGAAATTAATCAAATATATAAACTTGTGGAGTCATGGGTAGTCGGAATCCACTTGGGCCCGAGTTTTGACCAGGCAGGTCCCGTGTTAGACTTTTGAGGAAAAATTCCATTTTGATAATTTGGTTGCATTACTAATTATGGTTTGCTCTTTTGTTGAATTACTGTAAATGAATATGTCAAATAAGAAATTACATTTAACATAAAAATTGGTCACATAATTGGAAATAATGTTTAAACTGCGGCTCAAGATTCATTCCAACGACATCTGTTTTCGACATATGACGATGTAACAGCATGAGATAAGCGTAGCCAAACAAAACGAATCAAACAGAAATTTTTGAAAACCGAATCAACGAAGGTTTTCTTGTTGTAAGTATCTATTTTCTGCAAATGGAAACAAAAAGAGGAAAACGGTCAAACTAACACTATACTCATTAACTAAGGTTCAAAAACCATCCAATGTGTTTTAAGTAAAATGAGTATAGACAAAGAAAAGAAACAAATTTAAAAAAATAAAATAAAACTGCGGGGCGGGGTGGGTGAACGCAGGTGTGAGAGTGGGGGAGGGGGTGGATGCGGTTTTAACTGTTAAGCGGAGCGGAGCGGATTGAAATTTTGTAGGTTAAGACAGCCACCGCCCTGCACCCATCCCGCCCCTATTTGTGCCTTTTCAGTAAACGAGATTTTGCGTGTTTCTTAGCTCACATGCAAGAAGAGCACAAAAGATATGTCCCACTTTCTTTAGTACACCACAAGATTCACCTTTCTAAGGTTTCTTGAAGATTATGCATTTAGCTTAAAGAAAATCTTTCATATAGTTCCTCATTTTCAAGATAACAACCACAAAGAGCTCTCTTAAGTTTACCCTTTAACAAACGGATGTCCAGACCGACAAGGAACAATCGAGATATTGGGGTGGTTTTTGGCCCTAAACTAATAAGATAACAGTTACTACACAACTTTCTGAAATGATGATGGCACAAGTTGATTCTCCTTTTGTCACACTTATTGTCCAAATTTTTTATCATTAAATTTTAGGCTACTTGATTAGGGGAAATAAAAGAACTAGAAGCATTCAACTATTAGCAATTATGATGAGAAAGATTGCTTCGATTGTATCATTTCGACACCGATATCGTTTTGAAAAAAATAATGCGATTTAGAATTTAAAAATATAATGTTGTGTTTTACCCTTTAGATTATCCTTTAAAGGTGCGTAAAAAAAATTAAAATTGAAAAGACAACATTCCAAAGTTGTTAACTTTCCATGTTAGTAATATTTCATGATATATTCAATAAATATTAACATTTCTTGATCCTAGAGAAAAAGTGAATATACATTGGACTGGAAAAGTACTGATGATTCTTAATGAAAATTACAAAATCACCAACACTATAAGAATAAAAAATATACAGTAAGACCAACACTAAAGAAAGAAAAATACAGCAAGAAGTCATAATAGTCAGTAGTAAACCATGGTCAAGCAGCAACTTTTTACCAGCAATAAAAATAAGAATGAAAAAACTACCAACAGCAAAAAGTATGGATTCACCAACAGTCAACTGAAGTATTTACATCAATGAAATAGTGAAACAAGAGTTTGGAGGGGAAAGATTTATAGAAATCTAAGAAAATGACCAACCAACAAGAACCATTTGCAATGCAAAGAAAAATGATACTAAAAAAGAGAATTTTATGTTAAATTGCAGCTTCTCTTTCCTTTTCAAGCATACCCCTCAACCCACTTCTCATTTGAAGGTAAGCAACTAATACCATCTTTTTTCCCATCTCTTGCTTTTTCTTACCCTTCAAGTGAGAAGCTTAGGTTGTTGGGTGATAACAGTGCTTAGATTGTCAAGTATTTGTCATAAGCTAACCCCTCATTTGCTTTATACATACTCCAGCAAGATTCTCATACATCTCTATTTCCTTCTTCCTATACTTTATATCTATTCTCCCATTCTTCTTCTTTCTCCTCTTCAGCTAGTTTTCTGTTTCATTGCCTAATTATTCTGTAGTGTCCAAATATGTTTCGCTTTTAATCATGAATTTCTCAGAAATTTGTATTCTTTTCCATTCAAGCTGACTGCTTTATCAAATGTAATACATCATTCTGAACCACAAGATAGCATCTGAATCTATTGAAAGAACAGTTATCATGCCTTTTGGTTTGGTGGCAGCGTGGAACAAGCGACGAAGAAGCAGGTCCGAGGATCAGCTAAATCCTTGTATGTTTCAGCTTTCAAGCCTCCTTCATATTCCAGAAAATGTTTCTCATGCTATTATAATAGCCTGTGCAATATTGTACATAGCTTCTGCATGTTGTAAAATATGAGATACGCTTATTTTCAGGGATATATAAATCTGTGGAGTGTTGGAAAATTGAAGACCAGAATCCACCTGCAAAAAGACACCATGGATCATCAGTTTTCACACTCAAGGAAATGGAGGAGGCAACAAATTCTTTCAGCGATGACAATCTACTTGGGAAAGGAGGATTCGGTCGAGTTTATAAGGGCACACTGCGGTCTGGAGAGGTAAGACAAACAAGTAAAGGGAGAAAGAATTTCACATTGGTGGTTTACTTTCTGCTGTTTCCTATGTCTCATTTTGTGTAACACTAGAAACTTGATAAAGCAGACTAACTAATACATAAAACTTGATTCTTTTGCCAATTGGAAGATTGTAGCAATCAAGAAAATGGATCTACCTTCATTCAAAGAGGCAGAAGGAGAGCGCGAGTTTCGTGTGGAAGTCGATATTTTGAGCAGACTGGATCATCCCCATCTTGTACAACTAATAGGCTATTGTGCAGATGGGAAGCACAGATTTCTAGTTTACGAGTATATGCACAAGGGAAATCTTCAAGATCATTTGAATGGTTGGTTTCTAAGCGTGAAGTTTCCCTTCATCCAAAGACTTACCTTTAGATGCTTAACTATGTTTCAACCAAACTGCAGGAATTGGAGAAGTGAAGATGGATTGGCCCTTAAGGCTAAAGGTAGCTATTGGGGCAGCAAGAGGACTTGCATATCTTCATTCAAGTTCAGCTGTTGGGATTCCTATAATTCATAGGGACTTCAAATCCACCAACATTCTTTTGAACACCAATTATGAAGCAAAGTTACGCGAGTACTTCATCTATGTCATTTAATTCTGATTTCTGGTGGGAGGGGATCTCTTAATAGAACATACGAATAATCAATTCTCATTTGCTGCGCAGATATCAGATTTTGGTCTTGCAAAGTTGATGCCAGAAGGCCAGGAAACATGTGTGACATCTAGGGTACTTGGTACTTTTGGCTATTTTGACCCTGAATACACACTGGTGAGTCGCTTGCATATCAAATCTAGGTTTGAAGTTTCAATTGAACTGGATATTATATTGTTATTTAGAATTCATTTTCTTTGTTACAACAAAGCTAAGGAGGTAAGCAAAGGAAATCCGAAATTGGAAACAAGACAAGAAGAAGCCATAAATTGAGATAGTTCTAGAAAGTAAGCAACAGCAGAAGAAATAGCCAATATATTACTATGCAAAAAGCGAGAAGCAAACCACAAAACGAGCAAAGAATTAAGAATCTGAAACGGAAATTCATAGGTAGTGGCTGCTGACTAATGATATTTCTGCTAAGCACATAAAAACACTAATAAAAAAGGAGTAGGCGAATAAGCTAAGTAGGGGGAAAACTACAGAAGAAGTCACATAGACAATTCGTCTTCCCTCTAAACAATTGTAGTGCTATTTGTTCTTCTAGATTCCTTTCACTCAGAATTAAATGGTGGCATGTAAATAGTTGTCTGAACATTCCGTCCATTATTCAGGGATGAAATTTATGTATTGTTATGTTTTTTTTTTTAATAACTATAATGCTCAACAGTTTGACACTCTGCTACATAAAGAGAAAAAGCAGTCTCAGGTTCAGAATAGATCTTCAACCAACTGAAACCATCCTACCTTATAAGTTTGTAAATTTAGCTAATTTCATGTTTATCAGAACTCAATCCATCAGGATTACTTTAAAAGAGTATGTTCCATTACAATGCCAACAGACGCAGATTAAGCTTCATCGAACTTGAGCAAATCCAACTTAAATGCTATGATCTTATTTGAAGTGAAGGCAAATGCTTTTCTCTAAGTTACTCAACATTTAACAAGCTGATATTGACGTATCAACTATTAAGCATGTTTTCCCTCCACTAAACAAAACCTTAGGATAGTGGAGACATTCTTAGACAATGTTCACCCCCAAAATCAAGAAACTAAACAAACAGTAAGAGGAGATAATGAATTGAATTAATCAAATTATTTGATTAGCTTTACAGAGTTGGAGCTACTTAACCCACTCTCTTCCCCCTTTGTCACTTAAAAGCGATGAACGTTTTCAAAAGATGCTGATAACAAATGTCAATTCGGATAATAATTAGCTGCCTTCCTTTACTTTCTACCATAAATAGCATGCAGATATGCATGGCCGCATGGGTCAGTCTCTTTTTCTTCTTCTTTCTAATCAATATTAGAAAACAAGTAATAGTATAACACTCTACCTGCTAGAAGGAACTACGACTAGTTTTACTTCGATTCTGTTCCAAACATGCGATTGCATGTAAAGAAACTTCATACTTCATCCTTGCTCTTGAAATGTAAACATTGGGTTTATCATGAGGAAATTTTTTTTATTCCTCATTAACCTTTCTTCCAGAAAAACCTTGCTAATATTATTTTCGGACAGACGGGGAAACTCACTTTACAAAGTGATGTTTACGCATTTGGTGTTGTTATGCTGGAGCTTTTGACCGGACGCAGGGCCGTTGACCTCACCCTTGGACCAAATGATCAGAATTTAGTACTACAGGTAAGGACCAAAATTATTATCATAGCAGCAAAAATGAAAATTGGTTCCAAATTTTTTCAGTATAGGACATTAACTGCTATGAGGATATCGCAGGTCAGGCATATATTGAATGATAAGAAGAAGCTGCGCAAGGTGATTGACCCTGAGATTAACAGGAGCTCATACACTATGGAGTCTGTAACCATGTTTGCTAATCTAGCCTCTCGTTGTGTGCGAGCCGACAGTAGTGAAAGGCCCTCAATGGTAGACTGCGTCAAAGAACTGCAGCTGATCCTCCACACAAATATGAAAGGGCTAAGCATGCCTATGCATACATTCAGAATGATCTGAAACCTTCTGAGATTGACATGGATGAAGCAAATTCTAATCACAATATGCACCAAGATCGATTGTTCCAATTCAGAAGTTACAATATCAGCTAAAAGTTTCAAATGTACATTGGAAAGAGTAATGAGTATGGTAGGATACTGTAAGCTGTCAAAGTAATAAAAAGAACATCCAGATTCAACCAGAAGATCACAAGTTTTCTTAATAATTTAATAGATAGAAAGGGCGACTCTGAGTAAAACAATTATTTTTCTGGGCAGCTCACCTCTGCTCAAACACATTAGTGCAAAGATCTGATTATGTATGGATTCCTTTCCCAAATAATAGAATCAATGGTGTGGATTTTGGGTCACATGAACTGAATTTCATCAGAAGACTACTTAAGTTTACAGTTAAATAGGTAGTTGTGACAACATTTTCATGTTTCATCCTCACACATCAGAGAACTAAAACTAAGCGTTTGCTTGGCGGTTTTGCTTCTACAAACAGATCTCTAAAGTTTGACATAATACCGGGAAAAGTTAACCTCTGGCGCTATACAAATACATGTGTAGAAAGCCGAAGACAACTATCCCTGGTGTTCAAAGGACACATTTTTCCTTAAGAATATGGAAGAATAAGAAGTAATGTTCACCACTAATACAATACTAAAGTTTAATATCTAAGTTTCAGCTCGAGTTCAGATGATAAAAAGGAAACAAAAGAGTGGATCAAGTTTGAGTATGTACATGTACAAACAAGGCGGAAAGATAGTTTAGAGATATATCCAAAAGAGCAAAAAGTTCATGTAAAAAGGGTTGGAAAATAATGTACCTAAGAACTGGTCTGTCTTTCAATGTTCACGTGTCAATGGGAGAAGTAGATTGATCAACTTCAAAAGGGCTTTCTGACTCAGGAAGAACTTTGCACATCAAGTGCTTGCGTCGCTGCAATGTTAACAGGATAAATAGGTTATCTGTCTCAACAATGGTATACCCTGCTTTTCTATACATGTTGAGCGGAGCAGTATCAATCATTCGACAGTGCAAGTAAACCTCTCTAGAAGAACTCATTTGAGAGATTAGTTCCTCGCTTGCTTTCAACAGATGCCAACCAATGCCCCTTCTGCAAAATGATAATAACCAATAACACGACTCAATACCAGTCCAACATGATGCAGCCATTTACTCTCCCAATAAGAATAACTTTACATTCATCAACTTTTCCTATAAAAGTATGTTTCCATTTATTTAGACTTAGTTATACATCTAAGTATTTATGAACTACGTCGCCAAGTATTCCCTCTATTCCAGTTCACGTGACACTATTTCCTTATTAGTCTGTACCAAAAAAGAATGATATATTTCTATATTTAAGAAACAACTAAACTTTAAACTTTCAAGTTCACCTTTTAATGAGAAGCTTCTATTGCCACACAAATGTTACGGCATGTTTAATACCACAAGTTTCAAAAGTCTTATTTTCTCTTTTGAACTCATTTTCAGGTCAAACTATGTCACTTAAATTGAAACGGAGGGAGTATATGTTAAAAGTTCAAATTAAAAATAAAAAGTTTAGGAAGGAGAAATATACTGGCTGAGAATAATCTCTTGCGATCCAGATAGTCTCTTGAATTACTTCTACACTCTTACCACATATAATTTGACAAAGAAAGAAACAGTTAAAAACCATACCTCCTAAGCAACTTCTCTACAGTCATATTGCAAATGTATGGAGAGTTCTTGGGGGGAGTAGGTGTGGGAGGATTAGCATTAGCACCCCTTTTATCAAAACACACTTCCACAGTTCCAGCCAATTGCAAATCTGAATCTTCTCCATTTTCTTTATAGAATCCAAGAAGTGTTGCAGTGTGAGGCATCATTGCTCTTCTTTCAATCATGTACTGCTTCACTAAGTAAGCCAAGAATTTCACATAACCTTTAGGCATCAACATTGACTCAGCAAAAGACTCAGCCAACAGCCAAACAGTAACATCCATCTCTTCTTCCCTCATCACACGCACCCACAATACCCCAGATCCCAATTCTTGAAAATACCTGTATTTCTCTAAAAATTCAAGCTTTTCAAGCTCTTGATTAGTGAGAAATTTACCTGTTTGAAGTGGGGTTTCTATTGAGGAAGAAGATGAAGAAGATTGGGAAGTTGAAAGTGGGATAATTAGATTGGGAGTGTGTGAATTTGATGAGATGAGAAAAGGGAATGGATCTTTTTGTGTAAAGATTGAAGCTTTATGTGAACTGAAGTTGGTATTATGGTGAAAATGGTGATGGTAGCTGTGGTGAGATTGAGGGTCTAAAGAAAATGCTAAAGAAATAGCAGTAGCCATGGGAGTAGAAGGGAAATGCTTGGCTGAACTGAAAGTTTGGATGTTGCAAAGGGGGTTTTCTGTCTCTCACTAAAAATCACATTATCTGGGGAAAAAAAAGTGTCTCAAATAATTGTCGCATTAAGAATTTAAAATTAAATTTATTAGTAATTATTTCCAACTGTATTCTTAATACTCCTATTAAAAAAGTAATCAACATTAGTTGGTATAATAATTAATTTATCACGAGAACAATGAGTACAAGACAATTATCTCATATTTATTCAATATATATAATGTGAATTCTCAATCATTTTGTGCATGTTATTAAACTTTAAATTTACTACGACATAAGATTCCACCATGCTAATATTGTAGTACAAATATAAAAAGACACCTAACTTTTCACGTACATATTTCTTATCCGTTTTGATTGTAGCAATATCAAGCCCTTATATTTTTTTCATTATTTGAGGTTTCAATATAGTAATCGTGTTGGCATAATATCTTTGAAACTTAATAAGTTCTTTGAGATTTATAATAATATGTCATCATCAGTTGCCAATATTGTTCTACCAAATAGTAATAAAGTTGTACACAACTCTCAATTAATTTTGTAATACCAGATATTTAATGACACTATCCAAATGGTGAATATTTCTTTCACAGAGAATATTACTGTTATTATGTTATGGTCAAAATAATTATAGCTAAGATCCTTTTCTTGCTTGACCATTTTCTCTTTAATAGTTTAATAAGGCCTTCAAAATATTCTTGACGTACGATATGTAGGTGATCAATGATATATTCATACAGCTATAAAATGATACTCATTCTCTTTATTTCTCCCAAACCTTCTATAGAAGTGAATCATAATATTTATTCAATCATGTATGAGCATAATGTCACGACCTAAAATTTTACCGAAATTATGATGGCACTTAACCCAACCTATTAGAAACCGACAGAGTTACTATAACAAGCAGTGTAAGAGATGTCTAACTGTCGAAATATATAAAAATATAGGAACAAGAATGAAAAGAGCATCAAGTGCAGAAATAATACACTAATTCATCATGAGCTACTAATTAGAATATAATTGAGTCTCAAATATAAAAGTACTATCTGAAACAAGAAATAGTAGAATAGATAGGAAGAGGACTGCTGCAAATCAACATAGTAACTTACCAAGAATTCTCCAAGTCAAGCTCCTAGGCACCCTCCTTGACACCGCTGAGATCAATACCAGGATTTGGATAAAAATATGTAAAAATATAATATAAGTACAAAAATTAACATGTATTTAATAAGTATCAAGTCTAACTCGGATGAAATAGTGAGAAAATTTTGATGAAAATACTCACTTTCTATAACATGTTCAATTCATACACATGTAAAAACAGAGAGACAACTAAGAAATAGATAATATAAATAATAAGGTGAACTGTCATGACTCAAAATTTTCACTTGAGGTAATCGTAATGGCACATAGTCTCTAAGATTAGGTAAGCCTAGCACACCAGAGAATTTAACAGAAATATCCACTAAGAATATTAAATCAACCTAACAAATCTTATGATACCAATCAATATTGAATAATAATCACAAAATCCCTCAAAACCGGTAAAACTGAGTCATAAACTCTAAGAAGTACACTAGAAATCTCAAAAATACAATATTGTTTGATGTTAAGATAAATAGTAGAAAAGATAATAGTAGAAGGTGATTCTGAGACCTGCGAGCGTCAATCAGGTATATCTTGTGTGATGATCTGATAGGTCGTTTTGAGTACTAGCCCTTATTTTCGTGTTCCAATACCTCTATTAGCTCCATTTGATATTTTTTAACTTTGTGTGCACAGTCCATGTCTTTTTCTGAAAAGTTTTACGTAAAAATTTGAAGAAAACTTGAGTGGACTTGGGAGCTTGCCCGAAATTGAATTCGGAGGTCCCTAGATTCATTTGACTTGTTCTGTAGAAAGTTAGTAATTTGAAAGTTTGGAAACTTCCTGTCACGATCCGGATTTTTTGCCCTCGGGAGTCGTGATGGCGCCTACTAGTGAAAGTTAAGCAAGCCAACCAACTGAACTATTTACGTGTTTCCATTTTTAATCCGATAACAGTTTAGAGCCAACAATTAGATAACAACAGAATTGAATAAGCGGAGGACTGCATTGTAAAGATTTAATAATACTGCTAATACCAATCCATAACAAATCTACCCAAGACTGGTGTCACAACTTCACAGATTGTCTAGGAGTACTACAAATAAAGGTCTGAAAGAAATAAATACAACACTGTCTCGGGAAATACATGAAAGAAACAGGAATAGTAGATAGAAGGAGACGTCAAGGCCTACGGACGCCTGCAGGACTACCTCGGGTCGCCTGATGAACAAGAAATAGCAATCTCACTGCGGTTCGAAATCACTGGGATCTGCACAAAACAGTGCAGAGTGTAGTATCAGCACAACCGACCTCATATGCTGGTAAGTGCCTAGCCTAACCTCGGCGAAGTAGTGACGAGGCTAGGACTAGACTACCAATTAAACATGTGCAGTTAAATCATATACAGCAGAAAAGAAGAACAGTAATGTATAATTAAGTATAGGATGAGGGTAACATGCTACGAGGACATCGACTAATAATAGAAGAACAACAAATAAATATGAGGATCACCACAGTTCAATTGAAAGTAGGAAGGGGGAATCATGCTACAGGGTACAACAAGTATCAACAAGAAATCAACAATTAAATATAGAGAAACCGTAACTCAGTTATCCATCAAATCAGGAAATTAAAGACAAGGGCACGGCATCACCCTTCGTGCTTTAACACTCTCTCGCCAAAATAATACACGGCATCACCCTTCGTGTTTTACACTCTTCCTTACCCAAACATCAATCACAAAGAAAATAGGGTAAGGGAATCTATAACATCAAATAACATCAAGTAACAATAGAAAATCAGTAAATAAACGTAAAGGACAATATAACTCTATTATTAGCAAGAATCAGGAAAATCAAGGACAAGTGCACGACATCACCCTTCGTGCTTTTACTCTCGTCCTCACCATAAGAATCAATATAAACTGCATGACATCACCCTTCATGCTTTTACTCTCATCCTCACCAAGAATCAATATAATCGGCACGGAATTGTACATCGTGTGGCATGGCATCACCCTTTGTGCTTTACACTCTTCCTCACAAAATCATACACGGCATCACCTTTCGTGCTTTATCAGTCTTCTTCACCCAAACAACAATCACAAGAAATAAGGGCAAGGAAATCAATGAATGTACAATAAAAATCCCGGCAAGGGAACAATAATTCAACAATTAAGTCCTGGCAAGGGAACAACATCAAAACATCAACATCCCAGCAACGGAGATAGCATTAAAAGCAGCAATATCCTGACAAGAGAGGCAACAATATGATTCCCTTCTCTTTTTTACTTTTACTTTACAACTTGAGCCAATACTCTAAAAGGGATTCAACTAC